ATAGTCATGTTCAATGCCAAATCATTTATATTTCACATTTCACATGTTTTTGATCAGATTTCTGAATTCTCTCGAATATCATATACAATCTTCAACTGTATATCTACATACTTTCGAAAAGACACAGATACACTCGAATATTAATCATAGCCTCAAAACATTACAACATACACACGAAAGATTACATATATACTTGAAAGGTCATTTCTAAGGTTTCATCGCGTGATGCCGTTTATGTCGTCATCAAGAAGAAACGAAATAGATCCCCCCATCGCATGGATGACACACACACATATAAAAATCTCACAATGGCCACAACAAATACGTTTACTAGGTGACCCACACTCATAAACACCTATCTACGTCTGAACTAGGTTTTAAACTCTATCCATGTGCAGGTTCATCATGTCCGCTGAACTTCAGCCACACACACACTCCCCTCCTCGATTCAGACTAAATGAAAAAAGGGCATTCAGAGTCCATACCCTAATCACTCGTATCTTCTCATTTCTGATTTCTCATATATTTTACTCTCATTCTATTTTATCTGAAATCTTATTTAATTAATCGTCTCACCACCATAATTAATCATTTTTATTTTTATTTGTTTCCTTATGTTATTTTTTTTTCAACTTTTTACTTAATTAGTAATTTCCTTTTAGGTTTAAATCTATTTCTCATCATAGTCCAAGTATTCCTTAGTCTTTGAGTTTGTTTTCTGGTTTTATCTCCTCATAAATTTTCAATAACTTAGGTTCATTTATTATAGGTTCGGGTTCTGTTTTTCATCGAAAATCGGGTCAATATCCGTTCAAATTTTAAATACACATAAATTAATAAAATACATGCAAATTTCAAAATTCAAATCCAGGTTCAGAATAAGAAATACTTACACTCCTACACAACAGTCTTCTCGGATTTGTCTGAATGTTCTAATACCCTTTACGCCACGACATAAATTAATTAATATAATTTAAGTACTAAAAAAAAACTAATTTAATCAAATTTAGGGGTTTCAATGACAACCCGATGAATAATCCTGAAACATCGAGATTCGTACCTAGGGAAGACCTTTTGGCTTCCCGTTCGACACATCAGATTCCCGTACTCGAGAAAGACTTTTCAACTTCTCAAATAATGAATCAAAATCCCAAAAGGGTGAATCTGGTCTCTATTCCTGAGGAAGGCCCCTCGGCTTCCACTGGTGGGCCAGTTTCCCACTCCCGAGGAAGGCTCCTCAGTTCCTGCGCATGTAGGTAGCCAAGCCGAGCTCGCACGACTAGCTCGACACCTGACCACCACTCCCCTGCCGCTCAACAGCCATTAAAAACATAAAAAAGCTTTACCTTTTTGACGTGGGATGATTCAGCCTCGGTTTGGCTCCCCGTGGTCCCCTCTCAACCACCCACGGCTCCCTAGCTTGCTTGAGATTCGGATGATATTTTTTTTAAACCTACAAATTGATTAATGTAAAATAGAAAAGGATTAATAAAGAAAAGGGGAAGAAAAATGAAAAAAAATGAAATCTTCTTATCGTCTTTGCGATGGTCTTCGTCGTCACACGACATCTCGACTGATTCTTCTTCCTCTTTCTTCTTTTTGGCTCGGCTTCCTCCACTCTCCCTCCTTCGCCTATCTCTTCTTTCGTTTTTTTCCCTTGTGGCGACTATTCTCGGCTCTCCATTCTCTTTCCAGCTCGACCACTCCTCTATTCTTTTCCTTTTTTCTTGCTCATTTCCCTTTTTCTTTTCTGGCCTCCCTCTTTATTTCCTCTCTTTCTTTCTTCCTTTCGGCTTTCCCCGTGTGATAGTCTCATCTCTTCCCTCTCCCATTCGACTACTCTTGTTTTCTCTTTCCTCTTCTCCTTTTCTTTCCTCTCACCCAAATGAAGAGAAACCCTAAACTTTTCCTTTTTATACTCGTCCTCCCTAACCATTGGATCTCACTGACTCGATTTGGGCCGTCTGTTCTTCATTAAATCTCAGCCATTCGATCTCCTCAGATAGTTCGATCAGGACCGTCTGTTTTTTATTTTTTTGTCCCCTTCTATTTCTACTTATTTATACTTTTACCTCTATTTTTTCTTATTTATTTTTATTGAAGTCCTTGAAATTAATTAAACTCCCAAAATTCTTAAAACTCTTTCATTTAAATCCAATTCTCAATTTTTTATTTATTTTTCACAATTAAAAGGGGTGAATGTTACAATTCTCCCCTCCTTACAAAAATTTGGTCCTCCAAATTTGATATGTCTTTAAAACAGGTGAGGAAATTGAGCTCGTATCGAGTCCTTAATCTCCCAGGTAGCTTCTGCTGGTAAATGGTGTTGCTAGAGTACCTTGACCATTGGAATAGTCTGGTTTCTCAATACTTGCTCTTGCTTATCCAATATGTCTATGGGAATCTCCTGATATGACATATTTTCCTTAATAGGAATCTCTTCATACTGAATTACATGTGAAGGATCAAGATGGTATTTGTGTAACATGGACATATGAAATACATCATGAACGTTAGCAACTCGGATGACAAAGCCAATCGGTAAGCAGTAGTTCTAATTCTCTCTAATATTTCAAACGGTCCAATAAAGTGAGAGCTCAATTTGCATTTCCTTCTAAATCTCATAAGATCCTTCATTGGTGATACCTTCAAGAATACATAATGCCCT